ATGACAACGGGGTAGGTTCAGGGCAGGGCACCCCATCCCTTTCCCTGCCCCATAGTCAAGACACTCTACCCCATCCCTACCCCGTCCCCAGTGTCACGCGGTTTCAGAGCAATGTAACCACTCTTCAATGTTGGGCAAGTTCAGGGGCAAGGCACCCCACTCCTCATTAAGGATAGAGAATCTTCAAATTTCCCTGCCCCATACCCAGTATTGGGCGGGTTCAAGTAGAGGTGTAAATTGGGTCATGCTAGGTCGGCATGACACGACCCGATTGTGGCTAGCACAAAATTTATCGTACTTGTGTAATTTTGAAAATTTATTTAAATTTTTATTAAATACTTTATTTTCTTTTTAAATGGTTTACTTACAGAATTAAACTAATTTATCTTACAATTTCAAATATAAACTAACCAATAATTTCCTTTTTTCCAATATTATACTAATTTATCTGAATAATTTGTATAATTATTTGTTCAAATTATAGTTTTCCATTTCCCATAGTCATTTATCTTTAATAATTTGCAATGAAAATTACATAATTTTTCAATGGTTTTCCAAAATCTATCAAATGTAATAAATTTTTCTAAAATTTCCAAAATATTCTAATGATTTTCAATAATTATTTAATGCATTTTAAATAAACTTTCAAATACTTTATATCTTTTAATTTCAAAAATGTTATTTTACGAAAATGTAGTTTTATTAAATATATATTTTTATTTGGTATTTTACTAACAAAATGACACTAATTTATCTTTTATTTTTAAATATAAATTAATTAATAATTTCATTTTCTAACATTATAATATTTTGTTCCCCCATTTGTATTTGATTATTAATTATAAAAATAACAATAACTAAAATTTTGTACATTTTGATAATTATTAAATATAATTCTTAATTTATAGAAATTAGTTAAAGAGTTTTCAATTTCTATAAAAATATTGTTAGAGTTAATTAATAACAATATTTATTAATTTTTGGTAATTTACTAACCGTATTTATTAACTTTTGGTAATAACAATATTTAATACTCATTGAATATGAGTGAGATTAAATATTAACCGTATTTAACTATTTATTAATTAATATGAATATTTTAAATGAGGAAGAGTGGATATATATTGGGGGGGATGCATTTTAGGAATTGATTAGGGAGTCGGGCAACATGATACTTTCCTATTGATTTAAATGAGATACCTTAGGAGAGAGATTATAGGAATATTTTTAGGTAGTCAGGTGACATGGCTTAATGGGAGTGGTGGGAAGGGGAGAGGAGAGAAAGTCAAAGAGAATGTAGGGTGGAGATAATGGAGCAAGGAGAGGCAAGGTGACGGGGACCTATGCGATGCACGGGCTTTGTTAAGCGGAAGTTAAACAATAGAAATACATAACAGTATATAATTGTTTTATATTTTAACTTTTTAATAAGCAATCCAATCAAATTCAACCTGAGCTGGTCGGTTTTCTAGTATTTCAAATTGTCTTTGGTTTAATAAATATATATTAATATTTTATATTTTAAATTTAATTTTTTAATATGGAAAGCAGGAAATTCCCATATTTCTTAGTCTAAAATATTTTATATCATAGATTTAATTTTTGTAATTTATTTTTTAATAATATCATTGTAATTTATGAAATTTAAAGTCAATTTTTAAGTTTAAATCTTTTGAACAAACAAACTAAACCGAATATAGACCCAAATCAATACAACCCGAGTTGGTGGTTTTCACTAATGGTCTGTCGATTTCGAGTGACGAACTACGGACTTGACTAGATTGATTTAGTTGGCGAAACATCCTACAACTGAACTGAACCAATCATTGAATACTCCTAATTTCAACTAAATTTATAGTCTAATCTCTAATAAATAACAATAGTTTAATCTCCAATAATTATTGAAAATTATTAGCAAACATACACAATCATTGAAAATAAGTTTATAATGAAAATATAATAGATAAACAATAAAAATACAATAATTACAAAAATATAATAAATACTGAAAATATACTAAATTAGTCAATAAATAGTGTAATCTCAAATAATAAATTCATCTCTAATAATTATTAATCTATAAATTATAAAAAATACATAATTACTAAAAATTAATTTATAACAAATATACAATAAATATTATAAATTAAAGTTCAAAAGTTAAATAATAGTAGTTTAATCTCCAATAATTATTGATAATTTTCTATTAAAGAACAAAATAAAAACAGATTTATAAATAATTAGTGAAAGCATATTTATAAAAAACATTAATAATTACAGAAAATAAAATAAATACTAATTATAGTATATATAAATATATAATGAATATACACTATTATTGTAAAATTATTACTAATAAATATAATCTTGGTGATAGTTATTTTCTATAATTATTAATTGATATAAGTGAAATTAGTTATTTACATCATTATTTAGTTATTGAAATAATATTGTTATTTAAATTCTTAAAATATTAATTATTTATTGAATTTAATAATCCATAAAATTATAATTGTACTATTATTACATCATCTGTTATTAATTTTGTAAAATATTAAATTATTATTAATATGAATATTATGAATTCTATTATAATTATTTTTCTAATTTTAATATTTTTTTAATTTATTACATAATTTTGTTATTTTAACTATTTAAAATTTTGTCAAGTTAAATATTATGTTATTTAAATATTTAAATAATATGTAAAATATTTAAAAATTTCATTATTTGAATTTTATTTATTTTAATGTTATTACATAATATTAAAAAATTGTGTTATTTTATTTAGCTATTTTTAATGTTTTTTATTTAAGAATTTTAGTTGTTGAAATATTTAAATAATGTTTTATATTTTAATGTTAATTTTTTATTATTTAAATAACAAAAATTATAATTTATATTGTTACTACATAATTTCATCATGAATTTTGTAAAAATATTGAATTATTAATAATATGAATATTATTAAATCTATTAATTTTTTGTGTTTTGAATAAATATTTTAACTTTAGTATATAATTTCGTTATAACATTTAAATAGTTCTGAATTTTTTTAATTGAAACTTTTTTTAGGTAGATATCGATAAGAAGTGGGGGAGAGGATAAATAAAAATTAGAGATAGTTTGGGAGAGAAACTCTATACTAAAGTAGAGATAATTTAAGAGATAAATAGGAATTAGAGATAATTTAGGACATAAATAGGAATTAGAGACCATTTAGGAGGAAGTGGGGGAAAGTTGTGCCACTTGGCTAAACATTAGAAAAGCAAATCACTCTTTCTTTATGGTTGTTAGAAATAGTTAAGCATATGTGATTTCCTTATTGGTTTAATGTGTAATTATGTGGAATTAAAAAATAAAAAATTTAAAAAAACAGAAAATTAGAAAGAGGGGTTTGAAGCAAGGAGAGGTATAGTGAAGTGGACAGACCAATTTTAATAGGTTGATCAAATTGATTCAGATGGTTTAATTGCTTAGCCACCAATTAGATAAAGAATGCTTTTGTTTTTTAGTCAATTTTAAATATATGGGTTTATATTATTAAAAATATTAACATAGATCTAGTTAGTAGAATTTATTAGTGAAAATAGCTTAAAAATATAGGATTGAATAAAAGAAAATAGAATTTAATATCTTGAGTATAAAACTTAATGAGAGGGGATTAAATGACGTGGAAAGTAATAATTGAAGTTACATTTTCAACCCTTATAATTAGAAATAAATTAAATACACAAATATGACCATTATATTAGCCATTAAAGTTAGCACTAAAACAACAATAAAATGACTATTATACCCTTTCTCAAACAAAGAAATAGAGGATAATTTTAGTCCAAAAAAAATTCACATTACATTCATACTTTTATATATAGTATAGAATATTATTATTTGATAATTCTCATTTATCTCATACTTGACATTCTATTTCTTCTAAAGCACATACTTTATATATGTGGTCACTCTTCACTAATGCATATTAATGTAAGAAACGAAATAGGAATGAATTCCTTGTTGGTTCATATCCTTAAATTGAAAAGTTTGATAAGGGAAAAAGTAAAAAACTACTTTGATAAGATTCTAACCTAAATTTTATTGTATACTTGGGGTACCAATACCCCTTTTTAAGGTATTTTTTAAAAAAAAAAACTTTTTAAAAATTAGATAATATAAAACTAACCATATAAAATAAAAAGAAAAGTGAAAAAAATTATGCATGGTTTAAAGTGTCTATAATCAACACATCTCTGTCGGCGATTTGAAGGCACTCCCAAGGTGCTTCTCAACAAATCAAAATACATGCAAATCAAAACTGAACCAACTTGGTGATTTTACATTTTTACCCAGAGAGTAAGGCCGAATCAACTCACCAAGTTAGATCTATCCAACCCGGTTCTACCCAGCCCTAGCCAAATTGACCACACCAAAGTGGACCATTCACCTCGGGTTGAGCCAACCAAGCCCGGCTTCATCAGAACCCAGATATTAAAAAATATTGAATATCAATTACATTAGAAATATTAAAATAATAAATAATTTATCTAATGTATCTAATGTATCTAACCTAATTTTCCTAAGAACAAACATTTGACTATTAATAATTAAACTTGCAAAAGGGGCCTCTGCTTCGCAAAGGCAACACAAAATTATTTATAAATATGTTATGTTGTATTCTTTAGAAATTTTTATATTATTTATTTTTTATAAAAATATGTATATATGATGAAAATGACTAAAGAAATATTTATACTTTGTTTTTCTTTATTTAAATTGTCATATTTTATTTTATTTTAATAATTTTTTTATTTTTTAAAAAAATTAAATAGGTTCTGATCAGATTCGAATATCTGACGTCCTTATCGAATGTCAGAATTTCATTTAATAAGATAGAGTGGATTTTTTTGTTACTTCTTTTTATTATAAATTTGTATTATTAATAATTATTAATCAATGCATAATAAAAAAAATAAATAGAAAGTAAAAGAATCAATATGCTCGCAACTAAATTAGGAATAACATTAATGGCAAACATTTACTACATGCAGATCACCTGGACATGCGTGCAACCCAAAAGAGCTCGTTTCAAACAGCTATGTACATAAGGTTGAACCCAGGCAGGATCAGGTTCGGATCCAGACCCGATTATGTGTGACCGAATGGGGAACCGATTCGGTTCTGGATAACAGATTGGATGAGTCAAGAGCACGGATGGTCCATGTCAATTGTCAATGCCGGATTCGAACATAGGTCTGGTTCCCTGGCGCAGTCCCAGACCTGAAACGGTGACATCGGGTCGGCTACAGCCTGCCCTGGGTTGACCCATATCAGTAATTGTCCAACCTGCATGTGATGTCCGGATGAAACCATAAAGCGCCACCCCAACGCCATCGAACTCCAAAGAAGGCCAGGCACGCGCCATCGCACCGACATCCAACCTCAAAAGAAGGTCAGAGACCCACCATCACCGACACTACAAACCACTAGACCTCCGACAACCTCTGCCCGACTATAGCCCAACACCCAAAATAGAGAAGAAGAAACCACCACTAGAGCCACTGCCTGCCGCCACCCCACTACCACCAAACTCCAAAGAAGGCCAAAGATGCGCCACCGCACTGACACCCAACTCCCAAAGAAGGCTAGAGACCTGCCATCATCCACATCGCAAACCATCAGACCTTTGAAAACCTCTGCCCGACTACAACCAACACCCAAAATAGAGAAGAAGAAACCGCCACTGGAGCCACTGGTCGCCATCGCCGAACCCTCCAAGGAAAACGAAAAATTAGGAATTAGTACAAGCAAAAAAGAAAAAGAAAGAATACATAAAAAAGGAGGGAAAAGTAAAAAAATAAAAAAACAATAGGACGCTGGAAAACACCACAAATGTTCAAGCATCATCACCATCTTCAACAGTCGGTGTCGTAGCAGCAATATCCCAACCCCTGATCCACGGCAATGCAACCAAGGCCAATGAAGAAGAAATGACCACTGAAGTAAGAAATAGGGAAAATACCCGATAGTATTTTGTACTTGTCGAGTTCCAATTTAGTACCCTAACTTTAAATATGATAATCTAGTATTCGAATTTTATATTAGTTATGCATATCATGCCTGTGACCTCAAGAGCGATTTAAAAATTTTAAAAATGTCAAAATTACCTATAAAAAATACACTATTTATCACGGAGATCATAACTTTAAAATACACTGTTTGTTGTCGTCTGGCAATTAAAATAGGGTAAAATATAAAAACTTTCCTTGAGTTTTCTGACAATCATAAAAACTTCCCCCATATTTTCACTTTAACAAAAACCTCCCCTATTTTTCACTTTAACAAAAACCTCCCCTATACTTACTAGAAAACATGCAACTACTTCCCTTTTTTAGTTGAAAAGCCAATTTAATGTGCTTATTTTTTTTATATGCCTATTTTGCCCCTCCTTCAAAACACTATTTTTTCTCGAGAACTCAAGACCAGAGTCGCTAGTCTTCTCTCATGTAAAAGACAAAAATGTCCTTACTTGTTGATTAAATTTTCAAAACATGCCCCTCCTCATCACCCATGATCTCCATCATACATTATGTATTCTTCTTCTTCGTCCTTTCATTTGCCCTCCATTAGAAATGTTTGCACCAAAAAGAAAAAGCAAAGTTACGATTTTGTTCGTTTTTAGTATTATTGGATGGATGGTCCTGGGATGTAAATATAACGGATGCATTATAAATGAAAGGCGTGTGTTGTGGAATCACTCTGGGTTTATTTGATTTTGATATTTGTTTCTCTATCTGAACCAAATATGTGCAGAGGAGCTATCATCTCTGATTTCATTTATGTGAAGCATAGTCATAATTTGGCATTGCAAGACCTCTAATCAGAATTTGACACCATCTCCAATCTCATGGGCTTCGACTTCAGCGACAAAGATTCTTCTTTCCTTCTTCTTTTTCTTCTTTTTCTTCTTCTTTTTATTCTTCTTCGACCCATCAACCGAGCAAAAGTGGGAATCTCTTAGACTTTGGTTGGTTTTGAGAGTTTTTTACAGCAAAATGTATTTTCTCTTAGAATGTAGGAACTGGTGATAAGACAAAAAAAAGGAGCATAGTTGGAGCAGATCAAAGCAAGGGTAAAAACAACCAAAAAGAATATTTACAGGTTGGTCCAGAGCTATAACAAATACTTATGCTAATGGTCTAATGGATGTTGTAGTCGTTAGAATACGCCATCTATTAGAGAAATGACAAAGCTAGTCACTCAAGCTTGGTGTCAGGGCTTGTGGTTGCAATGGTTTGTCTTATACTCTCAATTACACGGTAATTCAAATTTTTTTAATTTCATCTGTGTTAATTTGATTATGGTCTTCTAAATTTTGACGAAACATTGATTACAGAACACTTGATTACAGAGCACAGAGGGGATTTAGATCTTGTTTGAAAAGTAGAAAAGATGCTCAAAGCATAGAGGGGATTTAGATCTTCATTACTGCCTACCAGAAGCACAGAAGATGCTTAATTACAGAGCACTTGATCTCCAAAAATTCTACTCAAATGCTTCTGTTTACTACAATGGTGGGTTCCGTACCGTTGCCAATCTACTAAAACATTTTCAAGACACGCTAAGGAGACTCTAGAATTGATTAAGGTCATGGGTATGCGATGGATATGGCAAACAAAAGATAGTGAAACAAACTTGAGAGAGAGAAGGCCGGCGGATTTGGTTCTAAGAAAATGAACAGTGTTTTGGAGGGTATTTTAATAAATTTATATCTAAATAGATAGACATAATGGCAAAATAGGCATATTAAAAAAAAACAAGCACATTAAATAGGCTTTTCAACCAAGGAAGGGAGGTAGTTGCATGTTTTCTAAAATGTACAGGGGAGGTTTCTATTAAAATGAAAACACAAGGAAGGTTTTTATGATTGTCAGAAAACTCAGAGGAGGTTTTTGTATTTTTCCCATTAGAATATAAGACTACAAGCATAGTCTCGTCCTCTATTATAAAGTAAAAAAGTTGTGGCTCACAGTGTAGGCTTCGATGTCCTTGATCCGGTCGTTGTGGAACTGAATGTCATCGCAAGAGAGGCCCAGTAGCTTCACTCTTCGCTTGCTAAATTCCTCTTCGTAGGCTGCCATCTTACCCAACTCCGTCATGCATACCGGAGTGAAGTCCTCTAGGCGAGATAAGATAATGGCCCAGCTATCTCCTATGTAGTCGTGAAGCTTGAATTTTCCTTTTGTGGTTTCGGCTTCCAGGTTTGGAACAGTGTCACCGATCGTCAGTCCAGGCATTTTCAGCACTGAGAGAGCATTCTTCCGATCTAGTACGAGCAATGGCAGCCGATTTCTGACTAGTTTGCTTATTATGTGGCCATTCTTTCCATGCCCATCAAACACCCCACAAATCCACAGAAAACTTTGTGCCATCCCAAGCGATGCACTTCGCGGGCGGAGATAAGAAAGTAAAGCTGAGCTTCCTATACCCAGCCAGCACTGGGTGTAACATGGAAGAGATAGTGAGGGTGGTGGACTCCCTACAGAAGGCAGCGAAGCATAAGGTGGCGACCCCGACAAACTGGAAGCAGGGGATCCCGTCGTCAATGAGGCATGCGGGCGCAACCTCGACGTTAGCCGCTGTTGTTCGGTGCTCACCACCTGGTTCTTCGCTGCGCATGCTAGGTAAGCACTACACGTAGCGTCAGCTGTGGGCATGTCGTCAAACAGTCTGATGGTACCAGACGACTCCTAGAAGTGCGTCAACTCACTTTAGAGCTCGCTGCAGAGTCGTAACATAAACATTCCACAACCCAACTCCACATGCGACGCCATTCTCTATTTATGTGGCATTCAGCTCCATCAGATTACTTGCTGAGTTGCCCCGCCACATTCAATCTTACCTCCTACAGGAACGCAACTCCGACGGTTGCCGTCAAAAATTAGGAACGGAATTGCGGTGTTCAACGAAGGAGACGATGAATAGCGGTGGTGAACGCCAGGTACTATATTGTCGCAAAATGAAAATCCAGAATATTAGATTTTCGCATTTTAAAGTTCTGGTAATAAATTGACGGCTAGGTAATTATCGGGGATTTTCCCTAAAAAATAGGCGAAACCTTGGAACGAAAAATGCCTTACAGACAAACCAAACCGGAGAAGAGAGAGTGAGATCGGTGCAAAACGCACAGGAGAAGGAGAAAAGAGAGAAAGAGGTGTGATTGACAAGAACAAAGAGTGAGGAGTTGGTGTGGTTTGACGAGAAGAGAGCGAGGAGTCGGTGGAGGGACAGGTGAGTATAGACAGTGGGGAGAAGAGAGAGTGAGAGGAGTCAGTGGAGGGACAGGTGAATATTGATGGTGGAAGCTAGAGCCTATGGCCTCTCGTTGCCTACAGCCTAGCCTCTCGAGAACTTGCCGAGCCCAGAGCCTTCAATCCCTCTGTCGAGCCCAGAGCCCAGAGCCCAGAGCATCAAAACCGTGTCCTAATGTATAGAGTAGAGAGAGAAGAGGGAGGCGGGGGAGAGGAGGGAAGCAGAGAGAGAGAGAGAGGGGAAAGATGGAGGCGTGGGAGAGGGGGAAGCAGCCATGTGGGAGAAGGGGGGGAGCAGAGAGAGAGAG